CTGGAACTATCACTCCAACCATCACTGACTTAGTGATCCCTTCTCTATCTATCTCTAAGGTATCAGTCTCATATCATGTTATTTTTTTATTCCACGGAAGACTGTTGTCATTCTATGTCTGTCCCTCTATTTCTGACTCATTTCCCTTAGCACGTTATGCTCCATGTCCATCCACTAATAAGCAAATTTCATGACATCATCTTTTCTAACCACTGCATAGTATTCCACTGTGTAGATGTACCAAAGTTTCTTTAACCACTTGTCTGTTCTCGGGCACTCAGGTTGTTTCTGGATTCTAGCTATTGTGAACAGTGCTGCAATGAACATACAGGTGCAAATGTCATTTCTACTGTGATTTTTTGCAACTGCAGGATATATTACCAGAAATGGTATTATGGAGTCAATTTCTAGTTTTTGAAATAATGCCCATATTGTTTTCCAAAAATGCTTGTCTAGTGGGCATTCCCACCAAAAATAAAAGAGGCTCCCTTTCTCCCCACATCTGAGCTAGCACTGGTTGTTATTTTTCTTTTTGATGTGTGCCAGTCTTTGTGGTGTGAGATGATATCTCATTGCTGTTTTGATTTGCATCTTCTTGATGATTAACAATGCTGAGCAGTTTTTCATGTGCCTTTTAGCCATTTGTATTTGAATTCCACAATTTTAAAAGCTCAAGTCCTATCAAAGAGAGATGCCTTCAGACCCTCCACCTGCCGCCTATGAATCTTGGCGGCTGTGACCTTCCAGAACCCAATGAAAAACCCAGGTATTCAGGATCAATAACCGCAAACTCCAAGCATCTATGGATAGGGGATGGGCTGGCCCTTGCTGTATCCCTGCCCCTATGGTAAGCTGGATGTCACACACCCACAATCTGCCTCTGGGTGTCATTTAGTAGCATGAATGGTCATGATCCTGAGACTCACTAATGAATCTCAGAACTGAGTAGCTCGCTGCAGAGATTTCTTTGGACCTTAATTATCTAAAATTCTAGAATCCAAGAGCACGTGGCTGCTTTTGCAGCCATGTAACATCTAATACTATTGATAACAGGCAATAAAAAATAAATTATCCAGCATCTGCCTGCTTGGCAAGCTTGAGTGACAGTGGAAAAATTCAAAATAATTATGGTGAGAAGGTGTAATGGTGGTAAGAATGGTGTTGAAATATTGAATGTGATCCATTTTTGTGAACACATTTATAAAAATAAAATTTTGAAAAGTCTCATCATAGTGAAAAATTAAAAATAACAGTAAAGCTCAAAGAGGACTGCTGATCCACAAAAATAGAGAAGGAACAGCACTAGGACATCAGGGTGGACATTCAGACTCAGGGTAAATTTTTGTCCCTCCCAGGTAAGAAGCCTAAATGGCAAAAGGTCAGAATGGTAAAGCAACACAGAATCCCACCTGGCTTAATGAGTACAGAATTTAGCCAAGTGACCCAGTGAGTAATAATGAGTTATATAATCTCTGTGATAAGGAATTTAGAATGGAACTGTTAAGGATGCATAAGGAGCTCAAAGAAATAGTGAACACACAGCCAATAAGATACAGGATAATACAAGAGCAGAATTAAGGAAAATATAATTAGAAATGACAGATCTTAAAAACCAGGTAAGTGAATTGAAAAACTAACTGGAAGGCCTCACCAGCATAGCAACAGCTGCTGAGGACAGAATCAGAAAGCTCCAAGATGAGGCATAGAGAATCCAAGGCTACAGCAGAAAATGGAAAAGATCCTTGAAATAAACCATCAGATGACAAAAGAAAATCAGGATGTCATGAGGAACAACATAAGAATCATTAGAGTACTGGAGGGGCATGAAGAAAATCCTGATGCAGAAGCAACTGTCAAAGTTATCATCACTAAGAAGTTTCCAGAGCTTAAGTGTGCATGTACCCAGATTCAGGAGGCGTGGAGGGTACCAGCTAAAAGAACTCAAAATAAAAATACCCCCAAGGTATACACTAATTAGAATGACTAAAACCACAGAGATAGAATACTGAAAGCAGCAAGATCAAGGAAGGAAATTGATTATAATGGAGCATCTCTAAGATTCACAGATGACTTATGAGACAAAACCCTCTGGGCCCACAGTTAGCGGTTGGATATAGTGAACAAATTAAATGAAATGAAAAGAATACATTACCCAGCCAGACTCTTGTTCAGATTTGAAGGAAAAATACACAATTGAACAGATAAAGAACAACTCAGGAACTTCACATACACGAATCCATTGATACAGGAAGAACTACATGGGCTATTTTAAGTTAGACATGTCCTGCAAGTATAAAAATTCCTACATAAAGATAGCACAAATCCATATCACAGTAATTTCTCTCCATGTCACTGGACATTGAGAGAAATTACTGTGATATGGATTTGTGCAATATCAAGAGGCACAGAATGGCAGGATGCATAAGAAAATTGAACCTCAAACTGTGCTGCTGCAAGAAACTCAACTGAAAAAAACAAAACAAAACAAAAAGAAACCACAGGCTCAAAGCTGAAAAACAATTCTCCACGTAAGCAACCCCCTCAAAAAAGCCGGGATGCCCATATTATTAGCAGACCACATAAGACTTCAGGTAGAAGAAAATATAAGAGACAATGAAGATCATTTCTTAATTATCAAAGATCAGTACAGCAAGAAGGACTCACACTCCTAAATGTATGTGCCTCTAATGAGGGAGCAGCAAAATACTTGAAACAACTGTTAAAAGACTTGAAGAAAAACATTGACAGCAACACATTATTAGAAGCTGGAGACTTAAGCACCACTTTGTCACCCTGGGATAGATGAACCAGGTCAAAAAGCAGCAAGGAAATCATTTATTTGAGAGAAAAACTGGAAGAAAAAGGTTAATAGGTATATAGAGGGCTTTTCACAGCCCCAAACCTGAATACACATTCTTCTCCAGTGCACGTAGGACATTCTAAGATAGACCACATGCTGGTACACAAAACATACCACCACAAAATTAAAAGGATGAAAATTTTATCTACTATTTTTTCAGACCATGATGCACTGAAATTAGAAGAGAATCACACATAAAAACGGTGAATCAAATCAAATACGTGGAAATACAATAGCTCACTACTGAACAAACAGTGGATTAGAGCATATCAAAGAGGAAATCATAAGATTCCTGGACAAAAATGAGTAAGACATGAGCTACCAGAACTTGTGGGACACAGCAAAAGCAGTGTTAAGAGGAAAGTTTATAGCTCTGCAAGCATTCATCAGGAAGAAGAAAGGGTCCACATCAATACCTAAGTCAATGATGGTTGGAGGGATCATTCAGGATGGGAAATGTGTGCTAAAAGTAGATAAAGGACCAAATGTGATAGTCTCTTGGTATCTGTATTGCAAACTATAATTCCCAAAAGTAGAGAAAGAGTATGGGAGAAATTGTCAGCCATAGAGGCAGGTTGAGGTCTAACATGGTGGTGGTGGTGGGGGGGGTGATACTGGGGACAATGGTGGTAGAAAATGTGCACTGTTAGAGGGATGGATGTTCAATACTTGTATGACTGAAACTCAAACATGAAAGCTTTGTAACTGTATCTCACGGTAATTCCATTTAAAAAAGTAAAAATATAAAATAAAAAATAAAACCTCACAGCTTAGGGCCTTGGAAAATGTCCAACAAAAGAAGCCCAATACAGTGAGGAGAAACAAAATAATAAAACTTAAAGCATAAATCAATAAACTGCAATCGCCCCCCCCAAAAAAAAGTCCAAAAGATCAATGAAAACAAGAGCTGGTTCTTTGAGAAAATAAACAATATCGATAAACCACTAGAGAGACTCAAAAAGGAACAGAGAAAGAGACACAATAAACTATATCAGAAATGCAAAGGGGGACACCACAACAGAAACAGCAGAAATTCATAGGATCAATCAGAGATTACTTTGAAAATCATCATGGCAAGAAACAAGTGAATCTTGAAGAAATGGAGAAATGGATAAATTCCTGGATTCTTATAACCTTCTAAGGCTGAACCAAGAAGATTTGAAATACTAAATAGACCTATTACCATTAAGAAAATTGAAATCATAATCAAAGTTCTTCCACAAAACAAATTATTTAAATGACAATTTCATTTAAATTAAGAACAAACACATAATTTAAGACTGGATAAAAACAATTTTCTTTTTTCTATATTAATCACAAAAATGAATGTGATACAAAGACAAGAGAAGAAGATTGCACACAAATATGATAAAAAGCAGACATCTAATGAGGATGTTCATTAAAATGTCCTTTTCGGCATTTATTCTATTGTAAATTATTATGTTGCAATATTTAAGTTGTAAAAGGTCAAGTTTTGCCTTTTGAATCTTGCTCCACAAATCAGATTATTTCATCAATGAATAAAGCACCTCTAACTCCATTCTAAAACTATAAGGAAATACTTTCATTTTGAAGTTTTTTCAATCACAATGTCAAAAATTGATAATAAAATTTGCATCACTAAGATAACATATAAAAAGTCATGCCAAAGGCCAAAGATGAAATTTTGTAATAAAATTTGACTGGAATTTGAAACAAAACAATTCTATACATTACTTAGTAGAATTTCACAATGAACTTTCGTATCCTCCAAATTAAATCAAATACCCATAAAGATATATTCACCTGTTAAAAATTATATTTGTTCTAATAATACAAGGCAATCATTTAAGATTATTTATTTTCTAAACTAGTTTTCTACAATATTGTTTACATTCAACCACTTTCCACTTGGTTTCTTCCTGTATAATTCTCATTCAAGAAACAAGGATGAAAGTATACTTTACAAATCAGAAGAAAAAAATTACTCAGTAACACTCACACACTTACTGGTTCATGGTAGCTGTCACATACCTAACAATATGAATTGTGTATTAAATATACAACAAAATTGACTTTATTATGAGTATATATTGGCATTTATTCTTCAGTGTCTGTCTATACTGCATTCACTCAATAACAATCCCCCTGCTGAACTTACATTCCAGTCAATATTTGCAAAAAAAAGATGTTTTTTGATTTCCTCAACTCCCTCTGAACCTATAAGAACAAAAATAGTTTTTATTAGTATGATACACCTGTTTTTCTTTACTTCCACATAGTCTATTATTATCTATAAGCAGGAGTGAACATATTTCATATTTTTAAAATAAAATGAGTACATTTACCTAATGTAAACTGTTTCGTTTTGTTTATAATGTTTAATAATCAGTGCTCTATTTTTATATGATAAAAAGAACATTTATAATGAAACACAGTATCATGAAATACTTAAGTTCTTTTTGCTGGAATTTTCAATAGCCACAACAACATCCCAAACCACCGACAATATAATCCACCTTGCTTCATGGCTCACAACTAGTCTTGGAAGAGATTCTAAATTGATGAAAATTATAGTTTGACAATCTTCTGGCTAAACGTGCTGGATTCTACCCAGGAGGAAGGCAGGCTGAGAATTGTCTCAGTTCTATAGATCCTGGAGATCATGGCGCACACATGCAACCGCATGACACCTCCAAATTCCATAATACTGACAGCCCAGAGGAGCACAGCAAATTACATAGGAAACTATCTTAAGAAGCCAACTAATCTCAATAAGCAAAAATTCTGAAACAGAAGGCTCAACTAGTAACAACCAGCTCATTAAATCCCCAGACAATGACTTTAATAACAACATTGAGAGACAAATCAATTTTCACGTATTTTCTTTTACTGAACTAAATTTTGACAACTACACCTCTCGCAGAGCCAAGCAAGCTACTGAGAGTATCTCGCCCACACAGCAAAGCCTCGCAAGCTACCATGACGTATTTGATATGCCAAACACAGTAACAACAAGTCTCACAATGGAGATGTTACTGGGCTCGCTTGAGCAAATCAATGACCAATGAGAGGATAGTGCTGCAGTGCTACACTTATCATCTTTTTGCAACAAGCAATATAAAATAAATTATTTTGTTCCTGCCAAGGGTGCAGGCTTTGGTGGGTGGTTGGGAAACTGGGAACAAAGGTTAAGGTAATGTCACAATTGTGGTGAGACTGGGCTGGCACACTGAATGCTGGAAACAACTGTATTATGAACAACACTGTAAACCAAAGTGCTTAAATAAAGTTAGAAAAATACTTAAGTACCTTTTAATAAAAATCATGTTTTAACATAATATTACAAAGTACATTTTATTTTCTTCTTAATAGCACAGCGGGTAGGGCGTTTGCCTTGCATGCAGCCAACATGGCCGACCCGAGTTCGATTCCTCCGCCCCTCTCGGAGAGCCCGGCAAGCTACCGAGAGTATTCGATATGCCAGACACAGTAACAACAAAGTCTCCAATGGAGACGTTACTGGGCCCGCTCGAGAATTTAAATTAAAATACAATTAACATGTAAAGCAAAAATTGGCAGCGAAATTTTAACACATAAAATAAATAGGACATGAGAATCACATCTTGATCCAGTGAAAATATGACAGAACATGCTCAAATAATGAGAAGTAATGAATTCACAGCATTTAACTTAAAGAATAATGGAAAGTAGGGAGGTGTAAAAATAGTACATTGGGTAGAGTGCTTGCCTTGAATGTGGCCTACCAAGGTTCAATACTCAGCATTGCTTCTGGTCCCTGAGCCCTCTTAGGTATGATCCTTGTGCACAGAGCCATGAGTAAATCATGAGCACAGGTGGATGTGGCCCAAACATTTTTTTTAATAAAATGAATATAGTAGCACTGTAGCACTGTCCTCCCGTTATTCATCGATTTTGCTCGAGTGGGCATCAGTAACATCTCACAACAAATTGTGAGACTTGTTAATGGTTTCGGCATATTGAATATGTCACGGGTAGCTTGCCAGGCTTTGCCGTGCAGGCGAGATATTCTTGGTAGCTTACTGGGCTATCTGAGAAGGGCAGAGGAATCGAACCCTTATCAACTGCATGCAAGGCAAACGCCCTACCTGCTATGCTAGCACTCCAGCACAATAAATTGAATGTAGTAAAGCAAAAATAATTAACTTCAAATATCTAAATATTTAACTAGCAAGAAATAGTTCAATGGATTATTTCAAGAGATAAATTGTGTTCTTCATGTTGGTATTGAATTTAATTTTTGAATAAGCAGATAAATTTTTAAACTATGGAACATAACAGTTTACTATAATCATGGCCTATGAAAATTTCAAAGTTCTAACCATAAATTTGTAGCAGTAATAAGTTAATTTACACCAAAAAAGTATAATTATCACACCAAAGTATGCAGAGCAACTGTCTAAAGCCAACCTGATTGGCATCTTTGATTCCTTTCCAGTCGGAGTCAGTAGCAGAGAATGAGATAAACAAACATATAAGGAGACAAACACACATGGACTGGTTGCAAGCTTTAGGGTCACCTAGGAAGTCATGAGTGGTCACAGGCTAGCCACTCATTATTCAATACAATATCTTGCTACCCTGAGCTCTGAATATGTGAGCCATTGTTGACGGAGATATTAAAGGAAGCTAGTAAATACATCAATATTAAATATGCACATGAGTAGCAGAGGCTGAGCTATTTTATAAGTTATCAGAAGGCACCTTTAAAATACAGAGTACAGTAATGAAAGTTTCCTATGCAATTTTTGCCCATGCTAATTCTACATGCAATGGATCCTAAATTGTCTTAGTCTATGCTTGCTGGTGTACATTTGCAGCTGGCAGATATTTGTCACCAATATCATACTTCCCTGCTATTTTACTATTTCCTGGGTACATTTTTGCAAACATTTTGCATTCTAATATCTAAAATGTTTTATGTAGGGGCATATCCCATTCCATTTGTTTTCTTTCAGGGGGACAAATTCCCACACACAATATCTTAAAAACAAAACAAAACAAACAATACCCAATCTATTTTCTGGATTCCTTTTGAATAACATCCGTAAAAGACTTTGTGCTTCAGCACTAAGAAACTGAGGCATTCCAAGTTTTGCTCTGGAAAAGAAGATTTTAGAAATTTTATTTAAATCTAGGCATACTTATAAATTGACAATTCTCAAAAAGAATTTTAATCCATGCTACGAATTGTCCTCTACATGGTTGGAGAAGGGAATAAGAGGGCACTAAAATGTTCATTTGTGTAAACTTAAAACCATAAAGGTTTGTCAAAACTGATAAGCTAGGATTCCGTACCGCATCCCCCCAAAATAGTGTTTGCACTTACTTTAATATCATATTCATGGTCTCATTTCTGTCTTTACCTTGAAATGGCAGAGTACCAGTAAGCATTTCAAACTTCAAACAAACAAAAATTAACACAGTCAATTTAGCACAACTTAGAATATACAACTGTACCTCTTTAAGAAAAATAATTGAGATTTGTAATACACGATTATCAAATCATGCATATTTACATGATGATAGGATCAAATAGGGAAGGAAAACTAGATCACTTAAGAAATACACTTCTGGTACCCTACTCAATATAGCCCAGATGAAAGAGAGCAAATGAAATAAACCAATCTTTTTCAGTCCTGCCTCATTTCCCTGTATTTCCAAGCCAAAGTACTTTGGAAACAATCCCAATGCATTTTTTGGAACCAAATATATGCCTTTACCAAAAAAATTATCAAGACATGAAAGCAAAAATTAATTACCGAACCATTTTGAAATCATGCATGCTAAAAACATATTTAATCATTCTTATTTTCTCCACTCACCTACAAACAGAAACCTAATCTGTCTGTTTCAACCTCTCTATATATCTCTTTCTCTCTAACATACACACACACATAGATAAACAGACCAATCTCTTATTAAAAAAATACAGAAACAAGTGTTGTAAAGAGGGGTGTTTGCCTTGCAATTCTGACATGACTTTGACATGAATGATCACATTCATAGAAGAAATAAAATATAACTAATTATACAGCATAGTACTACTCTTAAAATAAAAAATGTCTCAGGATGATTCTAATGCTCTTATAATTGATTATATCCAAGTGGTTAAGCTGAAACAACCTACACAACATATTATAAATAATTTCCTTATTTCTAAAACCCAGCTAGCTATATCTCTTCTATTAAACAATCATTTTATTAATGTTAAAGTTCATAGATTTGGGTAGTATCTTAATTTTCAACCCTTCCATCTTCTTGATCAAAACTGTTAATAAGTTAAGCCACTTTTTACTTTGAAATGTTTTAAAATTTAACAAATTTTCAGTTGTCATAAAATTTATGGTCTCCTCATTTATTATATTCTAATATCAAGTTCATTTACACAGTAATGTCAAGGAAACTCTTTCTAAAATGCATTTTTCTCAAATTATCATCCTGACTGATAATCCATTAAGTGTCCTACTTTACAGAGAATTCGATTAATTTGCTTTAGCTTTAAACTCACTTCTTCCACCTTTACTCGCATCATATGCAGTTATTTAAATTTTGTTTATCCAGGACCTGGAGAGATACATAGTACATGGAATAAAGTACGTGTCTTGCATGTGTTTAGTCTTGAAAATGGTCTCAGCATCACCAAAAGGGATCCCTTTGCACAGAGCAGGAGCAAACCCTAAGCACTTCAGAGTATGGTACCAAGTCTCCCAAAATAATAAAGTTTGTCCATTCTCCACCACTTTTCCTATACCAATTTATATAAAAGTGTGAATGAACTCCTAAATTACTAATAGTTTACTGAGTTATTCCAATTTTTCTGAAAACTAAATGCAACACTATAGGTAACAAAAAGTGCCAAATACTGTACTTATGTCTATTCCCATTCCACTGTCCTCCCTCAGTGACAGATTTATCACAGGAACTAATTATACTGTTGGGTCATAGAAGCAGCCCTATAGTGATGATGATAGGATTAACAAGCAAACTATATCTGATACAACTGTTGCTCATTAATAACCCTATTACTTACAAATCAGTCCATATGACCAAATGTAGTATAACATATCATTTCTCAAGAGATTTACAATCTTTCTAGTTTTGAAACAAGTTGATAATCAGAAAGTATATAGCAAGGTGTTAAAATTACAAGCTACCTAATTAAAGCATCATGTTACTGCTAAATACAGTATTATAATGATTGTTGTCTTCTGCTTATTCATCAATGTTGTTAAATCAGAACAATTAAACATGTTTTTTAATTTTACAACAGCCAATCACATGGTTCCTAATATTTATCGATAATTATTAGAATCTGGTTCTCATTAGAACATTTCTACATTCAATTATAAAACATTTTCTTATTGACAGAACTGTTTCTAATAATACTACTTACCATAAGTACACCATATGACCACCAATCAGCACTCTGAGAATGGCCTCTCCTATTTACTACTTCAGGAGCCATATACTCCACTGTACCACAAAAAGAGTAGGCCTTCTTTTCTTGATCTACTGACTCCTTGCTGAGTCCAAAATCTATAATAACAACAATTTACAAAAATATATCTGAAAATATTCAGAATTTTAAGAAATATAAGCATAAACAAGTTATGTATTAAATCTTAAAATTTTCACAGGTGACTTAGATTACTTTAATAAAATTTATTCTCAGACTAATAATGTAAAACAGGCTTTATTTCATGAATATGCCCTTTAAAATATTTAAATTCTCAAATTTAAGTATCTTCAAACTGCAATGTTCATACTATCTCTCAAAAATTTAAAGAGGGCAACAATTACATCAAAGCTGCAATAAAGATCTAAACTTCAAAATCTATTAAAAGAAAACAAGAGAGTAATTTAAATTGTTTACAATATCCAAATCAAAAATATTTTGGCTTTGAAGTTACATTTTTGCTTAAAGCCGTAAAAAAGCTAAAGATAGCAGTGTGTATATTTATATGTACTAAAATAAAAAAAAATTAGTTGAAACTCAAAAAGTACCATTGGGGGTCGGTGAGAGAATATAGTGGGTGGGGTGTTTGCCTTCCACACAGTCAACCCTGGTTCAACTGAACCCTGGTTCAAGCAATGGCATCCCATATGGTCACTCAGCCCCACCAGGAGTGATCCCTGAGTATATACCCAGGAATAAGTCCTGAGCACTGCTGGGTTTGACCCAAAAACAAAAACAAAAAAGGAAAAAAAGAAAAAGATAAAGAAAACACTATAATTCCACCAAAAGATATCCAACATGAAATTCAAGAGTATAATAATACAAATACTGGCAAACACATAAGCTAAAAACTAAAAATGCCAATGAAAGAAAGCAAAGGATATCTAAATAAATGTAAATTCTATATTCATGTTTAAAATGAATAAATATTACTAAAGTCGTCAAATCCCTCTCTGAACTACACAGAGCTTCAATTGATATTTAATGGAAATGAGCAATATGCCTAAGAAATCAAGCTGAATTTGAAATTAATTTCAAAAAGCCAAATAAAGTAGAATAACTAGCAATTTTTAAAACTTTGGGAAAGAATGAAGACTTCAATTCAATATTTATTACAACTACAATGATACTTATTTAAACTATCTACAATGACCAAGATAGTTGTTACTGGAGGGAGAAGAGCTAGACAAAAATGTGAATGGAGTAGTAAAGAAAAGAATGACACATACAGTCACTTCTGCTCTAAAACTTTAAAAAAATACAATTTTGTTCCCATGTTATTGTTACATTAGGAGGTAATCTAACCATAAATTACCAGATTCAGGTTGGTTTAAGTAGTTTATCAACAAGAATTTCTAATTGAAAGATGAGAATGAAAATTTCACACAGTTCAAGTGAATCAAGTAGAAACACATACATACTCTGCAGAGACCAAGTTTAGTCTATCATAATCTAAAAACTCACTCCTTTCAATGTGTCCTTTTACAATAACTCTACCATGACTAGACAATATTACTTCTACTATTTTATATTAACTTAAAAGCTAAAATATTTATGAGGACATTTATATATATAACTCAATAATTTTTCAAGATAAGGTTCTATATTTACTGTAGCATTCATAAAGTAAAGTAAAGTAAAGTAAAGGCCCTCCCATTGATCGTCGATTTGCTTGAGCGGGCCCAGTAACGTCTCCATTGGAGACTTTGTTGTTACTGTGTCTGGCATATCGAATACTCTCGGTAGCTTGCCGGGCTCTCCGAGAGGGGTGGAGGAATCGAACTTGGGTCGGCCATGTTGGCCGCTTGTAAGGCGAACGCCCTACCCGCTGTGCTATTGGTAATTATTCTATTATTTACATCAATTTCCTTTCATTAATGTATCACTGATGAAATGAGTTAGAGCTAAATCAGTAACTTTATTTTCCCCATTACTCCTGATTTTTATTATGCAGTCTTGTATACTACAGTAATTTTTAGATCATCTTCGTGCATTCTAAAGGAACGGGCATATGGTGACAAATGATATATTAAAAATGTAAAAGTAATTAGACAGTGAAGGGTCAGCTCTTTCAAAAATGTCATAAAAATAAGATAAAGAACATATAAAATCATTCCTTATGCCAACAACTAAATCAATGATAAAAGTAAAGCCTAATATTATAAAATTTCAAAAGGAACACAGAAGAAAATAACAATGATTTCATATTAGTTGAATATATTAGATAAAATATCAAAAACATGATAAAATGAAAAGTGACAGACATATTTTAATAAAATTAAACACTATTTTTGAACATTAAGAAAAACTAAAAAGCTATAGACTTGGAAAAACACTTTCAAATCTAATAAATATTCATAGCATATTAAAAATACTCAGTTGTAAGAAAATAAACAATTCAGTTACTTTATGATTGACAGAAGATCTGTACAGACATTTCTCCAAAGAAATAAGTATATGAAATTTCATTAGTTAGAAGAAAAATGCGTATTAAATTCTTAATGATTTATTTATACCAATTACTATAAGTAAAAATCAAATACATTAGAAAGTAATATGAAAGAATATAGAGTCAAATATCCAAATCACATAATCAACAACACTGAAATCAAAGACCTACACTTTAACAACCAAAATTAGGAAGATGCCTGTCATGAGGGCACTCTGGAATGGTTGGAGGTTCCTGGGAACATTGGTGGAGGGAAGTTTACATACACAGTTGGTGGGAATCAGTGTTGCAATAGTTTAAGTCTAAAACACAACTATGAATAACGTTGTAAATCACGGTACTTTAATAAAATTTTAAAAATTCATATACAAAAAAAGGTGCAGAACATCTAATACTTCCATAGATTGTTGGTGAACAAGTGAAATAACACAACTACTTTGGAAAATACTTTTTCTTTTCTCTTTAAATTGAACAACCATTTGTCATGTTAAAAAGAAAAACACTCTTCTAATATTTACTCAAGTAAAATAAAATGCAAATTTCACAAAAAACTTTACATTAATTTCTGTGGTTACTTTACCTATCACTGCCCCAAGCAGTAAAGCAGCATATCCAAACTTCAATAATTGGTGACTCAATAAATACACAGGCCATAGTACAGTTATAAAATTTAATACTATGCAGCAATAATAAATGATTTATACACAAAAATATGAATGGATCTCTATTAGAAATGAATAGAGTCGGACTCCCATTTTCTCTATAAACTGTATCAGCTTTTATTATACTATATATACTATTATATATAGTATATATACTGTATATTGTATATATAACATATAGTATATATATTATATACTAATATATAATATTATACTTTATTAAACTCTATAAAATGTATCGGCTTTTATTATACTATGGAGAAGGGAAAACTATGGGGCCAGCATTTAGACTGGTGGCTTAATAGAGGGAAATATAATAATGATTCATTGTGGGTGAATTTGGAGATTGACAGAGCTATTTTATATATTGATTTTGATGGTGACGATAAGACTAGTTTTGGTAGTAATTGTAATTGTAATTAGTGGTAGGTTTAATATTTCAACTGTGATTGTAATATTGGTAGTCTGGCACACGATTATATGCATTTGTCAAAAATATACATGAACAATTTATTTATTTTAAAATTAACCTTTTTTGAAGCAACTATAGATCCACATGAATCTATATGAAATATTACATTGAACCTCTTTATACTTTGACCAGTTTCTTCTGTGGTGTCATATTGCAAAATTATAGTGCAATAATATAACTAATATTTTGACAATAATGAAGTCAAGATACAGAACAAGTACATCAAAGTAAAATCCTAAAGGTGAATCTTACTTTATGTAAATCATATGGAGTAAGATTGAATATCTTAAATCTCAAAATAAATAGGCTGTTCTCCAGCATCAGTAATGGGAATGCAAATTTGCCAATCTAACAGCATGGGCACTTATTCAAACTTTAAATTTAGATCTGCCATGAGATTTAGAAAATGGATTCGAAAGTAGCTATCCAAATGTACCTATCAAAAACACAAATGCAAAAAGGTAAACATACCCCTATGTTCAGTGCACCACCATGTACAAGTGGAAACAAATTAATTGTCTACTGATAATGAGTGGGTAAAGAAGATCACTGTCACTGTTTGCTATCACTGTCCTCCCATTGTTCATCGATTTGCTCGAGCAGGCCCAGTAACGTCTCCTTTGTGAGACTTGTTACTGTGTTTGGCGTATCAAATAAGTCACGGAGAGCTTGCCAGGCGTGGCCGTGCAGGCAAGATACTCTCGGTAGCTTGCCAGGCTCTCCGAGAGGGGCGGAGGAATTGAACTCAGGTCAGCCATATTGGCTGCGTGCAAGGCAAATGCCCTATCCGCTGACCTATCGCTCTAGCCCAAGGGTAAAGAAGATATGGAATATAAAATGAAATGTTATAGAACTATAAAAAGGAGAAATAGGGGGAGAGCTAGCATCTGGAGGTGCTAAGTTCTTATTCCTGGCTTTCCATGCAGAGATCATTCCTATGTTCAGGAGAACTACATACAATGTTGGGGACTGAATTCAGGTAAACCACATGCAAAGAACATATCCTACTGCTGTACTATCTCTCTGTCCCCAAGAAAGGAGAAAAATATGACTTTCACACTGATGAAATTGGAGTAGGTCAACATGAGCAAAGTAAGTCCAGAGCAGGAAAATGAATATTGGAAGATTTTTCTAATATACTGGATATCAAAAAAAAGGCAAGGCAGAATATAAAGACACAGAAATCTTCCAAATCTGAATGTAGAATATAGATTGCTAAAAATGTAAGGGAGCCTTCCTTCGCATCGACCAAACTGAGCTGGTCTCTTCTCCCCACCCAGGTCAGTTTATCCGCCTCTTCTCGAACCCAGGACCTGGACTTCACCCAGCAAGCCCCGCAGGTGTCCTCCGAATGCTGGGAGACAAAGCAGCTATGAGCCTCTCTGCCTCTTCCTTTGCATCACCCAATATGAGCTGGTCTCTTCTCCCAACCCGGTCTTTACTCCCCTGACACACACCAGGTACCCATGGGGATGTGGCTACTTTAAAGCATGCCTG